AGGTGGGTCTAACAGACACTCACGATCAGTTACAAAGCGTTCAATCTAAACGAGAGCATTCTTTTGATTGCAACAAAAGCTGAATTGATGATCAGACTTGTTTGGGTCACTCTTCCTGGACCTAATAAATATTGTGCTATTGATTGAGTCACGGCGAATCTGCCGTACGAAGTGGTATTTGGCGATACGCGCTGTGATTACGACGCAGTCTAGCCTATCTATCCATCATTGGAGTGCGTTTTTTTGTGTGTTTTGTACATGAAGCATCGAGATCTAGCTTGTTCGCTTGTTTCAGGTATTCTCACAGAAAAGCAAGGTCGTCAGACTAGCGAGCACCAGAGAGAACGCCAACCTAAAACATCTGCGATGCCGTCGCGACATTCGGCAATCTGCGAAATATCGAGTGTATGCTGTAACTGCTCGACCAGTTCTGCTTTATGGCGCCGAGCCTTAATCATTAGAAAAACAAGATATAGTGTCGGTGCACCTCCAATGGCTGTAAAAACCGGGTAAACCCCGTGGGAATCGTGATACAACAGTGAGGAGTAAATATACTAGGTTCTAGGTTGATCATTTTTGACAGTTTCACCATGCCAGCTCAGGACAAGGTAAGCTTGCTGTTTACCTAACAATACCAAGGATTGCTCTTTTTCTCCGCGTACGTGTTCTGTTCATTGTCTTGTTTGTAATCGCGCCAGGCCGGACTAATGCACGTCGGAATGCCAAATACACGTTTGCCACCCACGACTGCTGCTTGGAACACGAAATACGGGAAATTTGTTTTTTTATTCTCAACCTTTAACATCATATCCGAAATACAGCAATGGTGCACCAAGTTGCCAGACTCACAATGAGCCATCTTTTGGTCATTTCACTTCGTCCGTTTCCCCTACTCATTCTAATTATTTTTCCTTTTTTCTGGCACTTTCTTTTTTTCTTGCATCCGGTCTAGCAACCACAACATTGGACGTCGTCCACGGTAATCTATGTGTTAGCTTCACTCCCTCTGTCTCTGTCACTCATCTATACTCATTCTTCTGTTATCGCGTGACCTTATACTCACGTGCATACACACGGACACACGCTGCGCGTGTTCGTGTACTTTCGACTCCAGTTCACACTTTCGATGTATATATCTTCTCGTGCATCCACTCAAATGCCTCATGGCATGATCCATTGGTTCTGGCTCATCACCAACTATAACAGTGTTCTTTTGCACGCTACACGGACTCCCGGTGAGAAGGGGGACTTGTGGTCCACGTGACCACATGCTCCATCCATCTATTCAGTGCGTGTTGGTCTTGAGTTTGACCACTGCCATCCTCATCTGTTTGTCGCCAGTGAAACTGACGTGTGTGTGTATGTGTGAGTGTGAGGTTTTAGTTGATACCGATGTATCACATGTGTTGTCCGTGGAAGGTCTCGTTTCAACGATAATTTTATTTATTTTTTTGTGGGGAAAAATACAAACCCAATGGTTCATGGAAAGTTGAAATGTAACGCAGTAAGTGGCAGAAATTACAGTTTGTTGACAATATAGATATGTATATCCTTCATTTGGACAAGGTGAAGCATTATGATTGACTGTTTGTGTGGATCCACATTCCACCATATGATCGGGGTCAGTCGATTCCCAACGCCCAGCATATCCAACAGGGTTAGGCCAGCTGTGCAATGATTTCAATCGGCTTTTCACAACAAATTTTATCCAAATTATATTCTTTACCACTTCCTTCGATAAAGCGATCTGCTTCCGAAATTCTGTGTGACTGGTGCTTAAACATGCGACGTTAATCGATCACAACAACATTGCCTAGATCGTTGGGGTTGGTCGGTGTGAAACGGCCCGATAAGCCACTCTCCGGAGTCAATTTCGCCCTTGACACGACCATCGAAATTGAGTCGCGGTAACAAGATACGAGCCTGGGGCCCTCCCTACTGAATCACATTCAAGAAAGTGGCCTAAATAATTTAACCGCAATCACTCGACATGGTACCTTCAAATTCTCTTGTTCATACTATATTTCGTTAAAATACGTGGCGGTTCGTCCACTGGAACAATTGGTCGACCTCCATAGATTACGCTGGTTGTGACATGTGCTGCTCATGTCACCAAATAGGTTGCCACGGTAAGCGATGTTTGCCGAGGCAGGTAGCGGTTGGAAAAATGTCAAGGGCGGTCAACTTATACACTGGCATGAGGGTATGAAAACCCCAACTGGGACACTGGGCCACTTGTCTCGTTAGGCTCTCTCGGTGGATACTCCGAGAACATGGTAACCGATGATTAGAGGCGCCTAGCGTCGCAAACAGTGACGCTCGTGCATTTACTCAATATTCTTGCAACCCCATTCCATATGAATTCTATCCTCCACTTGACTTTGCTCTCAACATTCCAATCTTCGCTCTTTTATCCAAACGGGCGATCAAAGGTAGCAACCAAAACCGACGCATGAAATTGCATAGTTAATCGTTGTAAAAACGGAAACTGAACTGAAAAATATGTGACGAACCACTCACTTTATGGATTATATTTGTATGAATTTGAACAACATCCAATAATCTATTCTGCCTGATCATAACTCCTTCCTTTCCATAGACTAGGAATAATTACAGATCCTGGTCTCGTCTGTAATCATAGTGAAAAGTGTAACTACAAAAAAAATCCATCGAGTCTGTGGTACTAGAAGCAGTGTCCAGACACTCGATTAGGTGTGTCCGCGCGCGAAACTTTATTTTTGTGTTCATCGTCAATTGTCGGTTTCTGTGTCCATCACCAGTTGGAAAATCCTTTTTTCGAACGGGATGTGTTAACATGCTGAGCAACGGTACCATGATTAGGTCGAGACGATTTCAGTGATTTTATTTGTTTGCTAGCCTTTGTATATTGCATATATGATATATTATACCGTGTATGAGTCGGATCTCAATGATCGGGTAAAATNGTATACGGTAACTTCTGGTCCAGTTATTCATGTACTTCAACTCTAGCTATACATTTTATCAAAAATTTCTAACTTGTGACAAGGGGCATGGATTTTGCGGATAAGCTGGTCTTAAACGGTTAAATTAAACATGAATGCTATGGTTTCGTGTTAAAAGCAAGAAAAATTCACAATATGTCGTTTCTGAACTATGACATGACGAGTAGCATGTGAATGACCGGACAAAATTTCTCCAGAAATACTCGATCGGTTTTTCGATGGTAACATTTTTAGTAATCTTTAATCCGATCAATTTTCTTCATTTTCGTATTGTCACTGAAATGTTTTACTCTCGATACATATTTTGCCCCAGTGTTAACTCACTACTGGTTAACTTCTTACTATGTGGCCAAGCCTCAGGCTATGTGATTCCTCGCTTCCATCACCGTGTGTTACAGAATATTAGAAAAAGCTGGCGGGTTCAACTGGTTTCGAAGTGATCCGTACGTTGCCTCACTCCCTCGCT